ATTTTCCTTACAATATTATTACAGTAATTAAAATATGGGGTGCACTGATCCAAAATGAGGTAGAGGTTCATTGCAAAATAGTTGAGGAGATAGTAGAAAATTACATATATGGGCTCAGATCACTGAGTAGTAGTTGAATCAATAATTCAACATTTGAATGTGATGTAATAAAATTGTTGCATTTATAAAAAATGAAGTGGATTCACACGAGTTGAATCTATTCAATATGTTAAAAGAAAAAAAAAAGATTCACATTACCATATGTTCATTTTCCTTGGTTCTATAGGTTTTTATTTTCACTTAATTATTTGAATTCAATTATCTTATAGTAAAATGTTTTTTTCTAAAATAAAAAATATATCAAAATTCAGAACTCTTTATGAACTATAAATAAAGAATAGTCGCATTTCATTTAAATATAGAAAAAACTATCATTTTTGGTATATACCCCCTCTGTTTCATTATAAACACTACAAGAAAACGAGTTTATAGCGACCACATAATTCGTCGTTAATCAGTCGTAATAGGGCTATTACGACTAACTAACGACGAAGTGTGATTGGTCGTTAGGCGCTAGTCATAATAGATAAGTGGTTGTAGATTGGTCGTAAATTACGATAACACGCGCTAGTTGTACCTTAGTCGTAATATTACGACCAACGCGTTGGTCGTAACATAGACGGAACGACTGTAGTCATAAAGGTGTAGTAAATGCTTTCGTAGTTAATTAGTCATAAAGTGACGTAAATAATTCGTAATTCATTGGTCATAATTCGGAGGAGTTAAGTGGTCGTAAATATTAGTAGTTCATTAGTCGTAAAATTTTTGTAGTTCATTGGTTGTAAATTATCTGTAGTATTATTAATATATAATAAATTAAAACATATTGATTTTTTAAATTATTTTTTATTTAATTTGATATAAAAGAGAAAATATAAAATCAACCTTCATAAAAACATAATATCCATAATATAACCGAAAAACATATAATATCCATAATATATCCATATAATATCCAAATTAAATAAAACAAAAAAAAACTATGCATTAAGATTGATGTCGTCGAAGAGACCGGACTGGTCCGCACGTCGCTCTAAATCCGCCTGCTCTTCCAGAGTGGGATCATCATCAGTGGGGTTTAAACTCGGTCGTAGAGCCTCCCATGCAGAGACAACAGTCGGGGCCGGGTTCGAGTTCTGCATCATCAGATCGAGCAAATTTTCCATAGCCTTAAATTTGTCATTGTGCTCGTGGATGACTTTGTTGGCAGCTTCCAAATCAGTCCGGAGAGAGGAGTCTTCATCTATTCTTGCAGCATGCTCAGCTCTTGCTCTCGGAACATCGTTCACAGACTCGATCCCAACTATACGTCCCCTTTTCTTCGGGGCAACCTACAATTGATCATAAAAAATTTAGTGAATTAATATATATGTGAAAATTAAATTTTTTTTTTAATATGTATATAAACAAAATAACTTATATTTTACCTCCTCAAAAATTTTGTCCTGCTCGATGGTGGAAAGCTGGACCGGTGCACCTCCCGGATTTTGTTGCGACAGCTGAGTCTGAACCTCCTCGATCCTAGCCTCTACGTCGTTATATATCTTCTCTGCTCAAAGATGCGAGAAAGTGCCATCGGAATGCTGGTGTGTCATCTTGTAAAGGCGGGCGAGAGATGGTGGTGCGCCTTCTTTGGCAGCCTATATTAAAAACAAATTAATTAAATTAATTTGTATGTTAAATAAGTTAATAAGAACTAAAAATATCAAATACTTACAATTTGTAGTGCCCTCTTAGCATGTGGAGTCTGCCCAGAAGTATGAGGCACCGGCGGGTTACCCTCAGCATCAGGGGTCATTCGGACAGCAGAGTACTTGGCAGAATTATCTTGTGATTCAGGCAACATCCAAAAAGCCTTCAATCCTCTCCAAACGTCATCGCTGAGGTAGCTCTTCTTTGCATGATCATGTTTTTACCTCCAGTTCTCCTTTCAATCGCCAATGATGTTCTTTAGACGAGCAGCCGCCCTTTTGTTGAACCCTCTCTTGACCTCTTCGTTGACACCGATAGACCAATTCCATTTTTACTACGGAAAATATAATTAATCAAATTATTAATCTTTAAATCAAAAATATATAAAATTATATTTAAAACTTACCGCAAAGCACTTGAACCAAGTAACACGAAGGTGTTCTGGTGTAGGAGTCCAGTTCAGATGCGCATACCAAAAATTAGACCTGATGATCTCTCCAACGCTACCTCCCAAATCATTGTCGGTATCAAACCTATAATTTTTTTTAAAAAAAATATTAATTAATTGTTACATATATAAAATTAAAACTAAAATTAATTTAATTAAAATAATTACCAAAACGTGCCGGGTCGTTTATATGGATCCACGATTCGTAAACCTTCTCGTCCCGGCATCTGGAGAATGTCCTCCACCGTATATCTTGCATATGGTGCGTTCGCCGGCACCATCAAATCTGGATGGAGAGCTGCAGTAGCCGAGGAGCATGAGGTGGTGGAACATACTGCGAAGCAGCTGGAGGCGGCTGAGACGGCTGAGCCTGAGGCGGTGGAACATGCTGCTGCAGAGGATCCTCCTGATGATGATACTGAGGCTGCTGAGGATCATACTGATGTTGGTCGGGGTTAAAAGGAAAGTAGACTTTATGAGGATCAAAATGTGGGTAGTATGGAGCATCGGCAGCAGGGTCGTATGCCCGAGGAGGCACAAACGGAACACCATGTGTTTGGCTCTCCGGAACAGTATGCTGGCTGGAAGATGTGCCGGTGCCGGAAGAAGAAGCTGTTTGGTTCGATGGCTGACCAAGAAATGTAGATCCGTACGAGTTATTAGAAGTAAGGTTCCGAAGTCTCTTTCTACCGCTCATTGCAATATATCGTCAATCTGAATTTTTTTTTTTTTAAAACGAAAAAGGTTATTAAAAACAAATCAAATTTATTATTTAAAAATACAAATGTAATCTAAACAAATTCTGACATAATCTATATCAATCCTAAACTAATTTCAAACCTAATCTAATCACCTAACTAACCACCTAAATCTAAAACCAAAACTAAAAAAACAAAATTACCTCGAGAAGAAGCTGAGTCGTTGTTAGAGAGTAGGGATGAGAAACTGAATTGCTTCGACGATGTTCGAGTATATATAGAAAATCGTCGTAGTCGTACATTAGTCGTAAAGTTAAGACGACTGTGGGACCATTCGTAGTTAAGTAGTCGTAAAATTACGACGAATGAGGGACAAAATAAATTAACGACCAATTAGGGTCGGATATTTACGACCAATCATGGACCAAATTTAGTTACGGCCAATTAGGGTCTGCCCTTTACGACCAATGAGAGACAAATAAAGGACAAAGCTCTCTAGTTACGACCAATGTGGGACAATTATTTACGACTAATTAGAGTCGAATTGTTGTTTGGTTGTAACTTAGTCGTAAGGTCCCCACACCGAATCCCTAAACCCCAAAACCTCAAACCCCAAAACTCAAACCTCAAATCTAATCACTTGTGAAACCCCAAACCCTTAATATCAAACCCAAAATGTAAAAAAAGTTAATCAAAATCACTTTTCATCAGGAACAACATAATATAATACACAAACACGACAATATCATAAATCTTATACAAACTTCAATCCAAAATACTAATGATAAGTTGGAAACAACATAAATATGATACAAACGCCAACCCTAATCACTCGTCATCAGAAACATCATCATCCACTTCATCATTTTCTGCAAGTTCATCTTCGTTAGCTTCGTCCGTAATTGCATCGATATCTTCTGGAAGTTCTTCATATCTCGGATTATACTGATCAACAAGTACGATATCATCAACAGCTTGCTCAGGTACTTCTACTGCATTTACGGCATCTTCTTGTAAATGCGGTTGTTCATCAGTCAATACCCGACCCCGAGGTGTAACCTTTATAGCGGCTAACCAAGAACTTCCAGATTGTCTGATCCTTGGGTACGGAATAAAACAAACTTGGTCTGCTTGAGAAGCCAAGATGTAGGGCTCAAATTTGTTGTACCTCCGTGTAGCATTTATATCAACAAAACCAAACTTGCTATACCTAACACCTCTATTGACAGTGGGATCAAACCACTCGCATTTGAAGAGAACACATTTCAGCTTCATGCCAGGGAACTCCACTTCGATGATTTCTTGTAAAATACCATAGAAATCTGTTTCACCTTTCACACTTACTCCGTAGTTCATTGTTGCTCGCCGGCTTCCATATTCGTAAGTGTGAAAAGTGTAACCACGTATGAAATACATAGATGCTGTGGTGACCTTTACGACCGGACCTTGTATTAATTCGTGTAACCACAGAGGATAAAACGGATCATCATAATCAACCTGGATCATCAACATATACAGATAAATATATAAGTTCATTAAATATATAACTTAATTACCTGCATTTTTAACCACTTAATTACCTATGTTTTTAACCACTTTAAAAAGTGTTGGTCTTTCCTTTTGTTGAGATCATTGGTTGATATCCCTTGTATAGCTTCCTCGACTTGGGAAATGAAATCCCTGTTTTAAAATAAAATGATCATTAATAAGGAGTATATATGTGGTATAATTTTATGACAAAAATAAAACTACTTACTCGACGAATAACTCAAGCTCCTCGCAGTTGAGGAGTATATATGTGTGGGAACTGTGAACGTCTGGAACATCTTCAACAATATATGTTGGCACAACACCACCATCATCATATCTGCTTGTATTCCTTTTCTGTGTCCGGACTTGTGATCCAAAGTAGTACGACGTGAAGTGAGATGTTTCCGTATTCAAGCTTCCAACAACTATTGAACTTTCC